TTGATTCAGTGACTGGGGTAATCGGGATGGGTGTGTCAGAGGCAATGAGATTGGCACAGAATAGAGCAGGGTTTAGGGCTGTTGTACATAGGGTCGCTATGAGTCGCAAATGACTAGACAGCACATAACAACAACAACAACATTTATGCCATAGGCTAGGGTTTCTAAGTTTGTTCCTGTTTTGTCTCTTATAATCTTTATGGTTTTGGGTTTTACCTCTAGGTCTATAATCTATCTTAAGTTGGTTTTTGTGCACAGTGTGAGATGTCCAGTTTTGCCAGCACCATTTTTTGAAGAGGTTGTCATTTCCCCATTTAGTAGGCATTATTTCCTTATCAAATATCCATTGACTGTATGTAGACAGGTTGATTTCAGTTTCTCCATTCTGTTCTTTGTGTCTGTCACTGTACCAATGCCATGCTTTTTGTTTCTATGGCTGTGGGGTTTGACTTTCAATGTCATATCTTCCTACATGACCTTCAGAAAATTTCTTAACCTCCTTATGCTTCAGTTTCCTCATTTGTAAAATGGTATCTGCATTAGTACCTAATCTCAATAAATAGGCATGTAAAAGTATGTTTGACACATAATTAGTTACTTTAGAAGTTAATGCCTGCTATTTTTATTCTTTTATTATATATATTTATATATATATTATATATATTTATCATATATATGTTTAAAATGTTAAAAAAATGTTAGTCATTATAATTTTTTTTAGACTCTCCATGTCCACAGTACTTAAAATAGTAAGTACATAACACATACTCAATACTTACTGATTTGATAGAGGAAGAGAGGGGAGTGGGAAGGTTTTAGTATGAGAAGAAAATTTTTAGGAAAGCATTTACATTTTATATTCCAGGAAATAACCTGAAAAATCTTTCTAGAAACAGTATAAATGTCTATTGTAGGGTCTATAAAGGTATTTCATTTCAGGAGGAATCAAGAAAATGGCAAAAGGTATTCTACAGAAAGCAGAGTTACATATTCATAAATCCTAAGAGTTTTGTAGCTGAAATGGGTATAAGATATATGCAAGCACACGCTCATGGTGAGGTGTGTGTATATATGTAATAGGTACTTACTGAGCATGCCTCTGTAATTGAGGTCCATATCCCGGCTCTCTGATCGTACTTTAATAGCATCCAAAATGGCATCAGGAGACAACAGTCCTGAAGGCCTCACTACATTCAACAGTTCAGTGAGGCTCATAAGAGGTAAGCGCACGGCTTGCATGATTTCAGCATGATTCTCCTTTGAATTGTGCTTACACCAGTTTAACAAAGCTAAGAAAATATCCTTCTCGGGAGCTGCAAATGAATCTCTTAATACGATGTTTAAGAGTGCTGTCTGAAAAGGATACAAATGAAAAATTCTGGTTATTAGGGAGACCAAACAAGTGCATGATCAATCAGTAAAACCTTATAAAAGTGCACTTCTATTACTTATAGTTAGACAACTATCCCATATTGACCCTCTTCTCTCCTTATTCTTTGTGATATATATATATATATATATATACACACACTAGCACATTTATTAGCAAAATGGCAAAAGGAGGTACCATCAGTAGACACTCGTATTCAAGGAGAAGATCCAATTGTAAATCAGTAAGATATTGCCAAAATCCAAATCCACTGTACTACGACACATTATTTGGATTCTCAGATCTATAGCTGTCCCTTCAGCAACACTTCAAAGATCCTTGTCCTTAAAACTTAAGCAGAATAATAAAAAATTATACAGTTCACATTCAAACCAACATAGGTAGTAGCTATACAATACATGTTCTCATTGGAAACAATCAAGTCCTATAAAGAATGCAAAAAAAGGAAAACAGGAAAGAACCACCAGCTATGTTTCATAGAAACACTTGCCCAAAAAACAGTCACTCCAGCTATTACACAGTGTAAAACAGCATGTAATAGCGAACCAGTAGGAAAATGAGGGACTCCAATACATCAAAACTTTTTTCTAAATTTTCTCCTTGCTTTAAGGAGTTATTAGTTGCATTTTCTCTAAGAGAAGTACAAAACTGAATAATAGCATGTAATACCACATAGGATCCTATCTGATTGTCATCACACTGAAAACCACCACTGAACTACACAGTCTCATATGCAAGTAAAAGTCACCAGGAGGACCTTAAAGGAAACTAGAATTGATCTGCCTCTCTCTTATATGATCTAGAGGCCCTCCATCCAGAGGCAGGGAGCTAAAGCAACTAACTCCTTCCATACCAGTGATTTTTCTTGCTTTGTGCCTATTTTTTTATTACTGTATTTCTACTCTACTAGTATATAAATACAACAATGAGGGACTTATACACAGTGACACACCTTAGAAAGGGAAAGGAAACCTTCACTTGATAGCACCTCCTGAGCATTTCTGTCCATGAACATGCAGCACATACAAGTTAGCTTGGGAAGTGAGTAGAGACTGGCAACATCAAAAGTCATACAGACGTTCTGAATGTTAAGTATGGTGCAGAGATATTCAGAAGTTGAATCCTCTAGCTCTGGAAATCCATATTTATGAGCAAGGCTCAAAAAGTCCAGCAGCACCTCTTCCTTCTCATCTGTGAGTGTCGCTCGCCCAGTGTAAATGTATTTCAGTAGCATTGTGAATGCTTCTGCAGTGGTGTCTTGCAGAGGGATTTCTGCTTCAGGCTGAGACTCTCGCATGCCACCATACAGCAGTGCTCTGCACATCAGAGAAAATACAGAGAATGAAAAGAGGAACCATTCAAATAGGACTGTTACAAAATAGAATACCAGCTACTGTTACACAAAATTAAAAATATTTAATGACACAAAGATCCAGGTGAAATGCAAAGTGATTTTCTAAACAAAACAAGAGAAACAATTAAACAACTATCTGCAATCAATTCTATAAACAATTGGGCTACTAAACTATCCTGAAAGCTCAAGATATTCAACAAACATTAAATAGATGAAAGAAATAATTTTGTGGGAAGATGTGAAATCAATGTAAAGATATTAAAGGTCAATAAGGAAGTTTAAAAATTAGAATTATGGAAAAAGATATAATCAGATACACAAAATTAAACAACAACCAGACATCATTCTTTTCTAGTAGCCTAGCAGAATTTTTTAAAGCCTGTTAATACCTGTTACTGGAAAAATAATGAAAAAAACCAGCTACTCTCATGAAATGTTTTAAATGTATAAAAGTGTGTCCCTGGTGCCACTGTTGTAGAATGAGGCTGACATCGGGGTGGGGGTA